TATGCAATTGTATATTAATAAAAATATAATATATAGATTGCATCATTTTTAATTCTATTATGCAACCTGTTTACATTAGTTTGTTTATGTTAACTTATTTGTTTCATGAAACTTTATACGTTGTGATTCGATATACTAATATATTGTACATATTCAGACAGCGATTTCGTGCAAGAACCGACCATTACAGTGACAAAAAAATCTATGGTTTCTACATCCAAGAAGGCCTCCTCGAGCCACGGTCGAAAGGATCCAGTCCCCCAAAATACGACACTGTCCAAAGTATTAAAAACCGCTACAGGACCTCAGGAAGCAAAAGGTAGATAAAATCTTACGTTTTTCCTAAACCTTAAAAGTATATACAAATGATAATTAATATATTCAGGATCTTTGGGTAACCAAACAGTTGGAGGTGGTCGAGTCGATGACAGCCTGCACAAAGAATAAAAAAAAGGAATAAACGAGGAACCGCAAAAGGGGACAGAAGATGAACGTGCAGTTGACACGAATGCAGTACAATATCGGGTACTAAGGACTAGGACATCCCCCAGGACACTTCATGAAACAGTGCGCACATTAAACGATTCACAACGGGCTGCCGTTACCAGTATGGGATTAGGGAGCCTGGTTGACATAAAAATAGATGGTGTCCCATCTCGTTTGGGTTTTTATGTTGTAGACAACCTAGACACTGTTAATATGAGGCTTAGTGTTCGTCATGGGTCAATTCCAATTACAATAGCCTCAATTCATGAATTACTAGGCTTGCCTAGTGGGGGGATTGACATACTTAATACTCAACATGAAAAATCCAAGCCAAATCTTAATGGCATGTTTAGGAGGCAATTTGATAAGAAGAAGATGAGACCGAAGGATGTCATGAAACTTATCCAAGGTTCTGGAGATGCATCAGATTCATTTAAAATCAACTTCTTGGTATTGTTCGTGAACTTGATGATAGATTGTAACCGCATGGGCTGTTGCAATCTTAGCTTTTTGTCTTCCATGAAGGATTTGAAACTGATTCACGAGATAGACTGGTGCAAATACCTTTATGATATGTTGTGAACAAGTAAGGAAAATTGGAGCAGATCAAGTAACGTATGTTTCTACGCCGGGCCACTTACTTATCTGACTGTAAGTGTATTTACTCTATTAATTAGCATGAACTATTTTTAATCCTAAGAGTAAATCTCTTTGATTATACTTTTTAATCAGTTACTATATGTTGAGTCAACAATATGGCCGGATCAAGTAGTTGACCACATGCAGCAGCAACAATCGGATGGAGCTTTGACATGTTAAGAAAACGGGAGGCTTGGGAGATGGCCAACGGAGGCTTAGGATCGGCTAAATTATTGGACGTTACAAGGGCGGTTGAAAGAGAGGTAATTATCTAGCTTCTTTGAATATCGTTTAAACTTTTCGCTCCGAGTTACCGAATAAAATTTATGCGGTAGTAATAAACGTTAACTATTAGCGCAACAATTTAGTTATCATGAGTTAACGTTTTCATTTAATTACTTCAATACTATTGTACGAAACAGTTTACTTAACATGAGTTCCCTAATGTCACTGAACCATATGTAAATGTTTCATCGAATCTGTTCACTATTATAACTGTTCTTTATATGAAACTGGTTCACTTTGATCATTTCAACTCTTCAATGACAGTTTCAAACTTTGCAATCTGTTTTGCCCTAAAGGACTACATACATGTTAGTTACATACATTTACGTATAGTTAACCTTCAGACTATTGATTGCAATGACTATAGGTTCATGTCACTAGCTCATGGTATTTCACTGTATAATATGCAACTAGTTATTAAGAAACTGGTTCACTTTTTTCTTCATCTGTTAATTGCAGTATCACTTCTACTCATATTAGACAGTTTAACATACGACCATATCATATTAAAATTGTTCTTATGAAACTAATTCATTATATTCTCATTGTTCATTTCAAAGCATCTCAATACATATGGTACATGTTACCATCAGCCTGTTTCATGTCAAACTAGGGTCATATTAAACTGTATCCTATGTAGTTGGTTCACTATTCTAAACTGATACATTTACGCAACATCTAAAATCACACAGCTCCGCTATTATGAGACTGTGAATATGTACATTGTTTTTACTAAACATTTGACATTGTTTCGATTATAATCCAATACTGCTATCAATATGAAACTGGGTGATGAACCAGTTTAATACTTACTAACGAATTAATGTTTGTACGTCTTCCTATCATGTGTAGGTTGAAATCAAGATGATCAAAGACATGATAGGTCATGTTCTTGATACAAGACGTGAAATCGAACAGCGTCTCATTGCGTGTCAGGCAAAGTATCATGCAGATGAGGATTTCGAAGCTCTTGCTGCTGATCTGCATGCCATATTCAGATCCTCTACGCACAATGTTTTAGGTCATCTAGCTCTAAACGATAATGTAGACCTTGCAGCTATTGTTCCATCAAGCGAGTTATGTGTTGGTAAACGTGGCGGACATGAAACCCCGACTGATAATGACYTGAATCAGTCACCATTATCCCAATATTGGCTGAGTCAAACATTGCACAAGATATGCGATGAAACCGTTGAGAAATCAATTTCCAGTAAAGAACCGAAGGAGTCATTAGATATACAGCCACCGCAATTCGACTTGGGAATTAGTCCGATGAAGACAGCTGAACAGTCCACCGTCACGAAGCCACCCTCAAAGGATAAAGGTAAAGGTGTCTGCATCGTTGATGATGCAAAGTTTAAAAAATCCAACCGATTCACCGGATGGCATGGTGAAGACGATACCACCAACCACCTGAAGTAAAAATACGTTACAGCTTCTAGGCGGAGTGTTCGGTTGGGAGATCACCTTAGATCACCTTTCCTTCGGCGGGCTATAGACATGAAGGTAACTGCAGAGGATAGACGTATACATGATTGGRMGATCGCAKAAATTGGATCAACCTTGTAARAATAWGTTTTTACTATATCTTCACTGTAGTTCGTTGTTACCAAATGCRCTTACTAACAAATTATCAATGACATATGATTCGACTAATATAAGTATGYTTACGTGGCAAATCTGTAGCGACATTGTATTCGAATTGGAGAATTCCACGAACATATTGCGGGGGAATTTGGCAAGTCTAGCATCCAAATCAATTGTCTACACAAATGTTATAGATGGATGGGCAGAATTGCTAAACATGGAGGAAATGTACAGAAGTCAAGATTCACCGCGTCGTTTTTTTTCAATACAACTGTATTGGTAAGATATATAATATTAACAAAGTGATTTCTAATGAAACAAAACATGATTTCATGAATGTTGTCTGACTACATGACTATCATACAGGGAGATCCGAAGCTTAGGACTCAGCAGGCATATTTTAATGTTCAGTTTGACCTTTTCAGCACTTACCTCGCAAAATCAGTTCGGTTCAACATGGAAATTATTAAAATGCGCAATATGGATCTCGTATGCTCACTATTTACATTTTTTTGCATTTAAAAGTACGTAGACATTTATTTTTCACATGACATTACGTAACAATTTAACACACACAGACTTTCTTTCCTATTATGGATTGTGGTCACTATTACATAGTGGTGTTTAACTTCAAGAAGCCATCAGTTGTTGTAATAGACCACAAATTTTCGAAAGGTTGTCAGATCGAAGACGATATGGGGTCGTATGAACACGTTGTAGACTTATTAGTAAGTATAATAACTTGACAATCACTCTTGTACTTGAATGTTTATTCACGAAATACATTTTACAATTGATTATTTCTTTCCCCAGCATCACCTTATGATCAAGCATCTAAGAGTTGTAGGCCATCCTAGTTGGCAAGAAATAGATGAAACGGGTCATGAACGCTTGGAAATGAGTTGGCAAACAAAAGACAATTTCGAGGATGCAGGTGTGTTCTCGATGAGGCAYATGGAAACTTGGATGGGAGATGAAAGGTCATGGAAGACCGGATTCACTACAGAAGGACCGAATCAAAGAACCCAGCTTACTGATCTAAGGAAGAAATACACGGCGAAGTTAGTACTCAGCAACTTCAGCAAAAGAAGGGAGTCAATCGTGAAAGAGGTTGATCAGTTTCATTCAGTGGATCACGAAGCCAAAAAGAAAGCAATAGAGCAAGCAAAAGCAACTAAGACATCTGCCATAGGCGTTAACATTCAATCATAGCAATACATTGGTTTAGCGTTGGTTCACTAGCGATACTTTTTTTTGGGGTTATTTTCGGAGGTTATGACAAGGATTTTATAGTGTTTTTTAGTATTCAGTTATGTATTGCTCATTTTCTTTTGAATTAACTGATCTTGTCTTAGCAAGTACTCAAATATTTACTAAGCAACTTAAAGCTTAGTCTTTTTTCATATTACAATCAACCGTATCTTTAGTCCTTGCTTGTAGTACTTGTGTTATATATCTTTGTGATGAAACTATTTTATGTTCATTGAATAGTCCACAATTAAATATTACAATGAAACTTTATCATTGCACATTATGATACTACTAATCAAACMCATCACTACCGAATTCAGTTGGAATGACATAAGACATCATACATCATTTCAATTGCACCGTCCCAAACAAACTYCATTTTCATTATAACATTTACATTCTTATCATAAATGGACATTGCTTCACACGTTGTTTAGTGTTTCGTCGATTAAACGCTAGTTTAGACCCTATTTGTATAATGTTTCATCAGTTTGTGTAGAGGGGAAATACGTTAGATATTTTTTTCAAACAAATTCCGTACACAATTATTTTCTTCGTGACAGACATTTCTCATTAACACATTCATCGCATCCCACTCTAAACGTTTTACCATTACATGAACATGCTCATCCCAATAATTTTAGGAGCCAGCAGAATTTCATCGATAACTGTTACTAGCTAAGATAAATCAAATGAAACAAAAAACAATGTTCCTCACAAATCAAACAATTATAATTCATACACCTAAACCGTTATTTGTTACTATCACCTTTTGATGGACAGTTGCGGGAATCATGCCACCCCATTTTATCACAAGTTCTGCACAATCTTTTCGGCTTCTTTGCATTCATGGATATCTTCTCTGAGATACCAACAAGACGCTTTCTGGTCCCACAACCTTTATTACGTATCCCTTTTGGTGGTAAGACATCAACCGATTCATGTTTGGAAACACATAATAGCTCCTGAATATCATTTCTCTTCTGTTCAGTACCTGTCAATATTGGAATGTCCACCGAAATTTCATCACCCAAACGTTCCAATCGCTCCACAAACTCTGTCAATGATCCCTTATCATTCCGTACACGCCCAATAATAAGATCAAACATTGACGTAGCCTGGTTCATCAAAGCTTGTTTCTCAACATCCATTTCACCATACCTAACACGAGCCGGCAACAGCTCTACTGGAACTAACTCTCGTCTCCATCGCGGTAAGATGTACTTCTCGGGTATACATTGCACCTYAGAATTTAACATTACCTTAAACGCGTGGCGACATAATATACCATTGTGAACAAAATGGTTGCAACTACAATCAAAAGAATCATCCCCTACATCATGAACCACCTAGCATATCATACATAACGAAAGAGAAATTATAATCATTTACTATGAAATGCGATTCTAATTAATTATTTGTCAAAATTAAATCAAAAAATTGAACATCACCTTGTACGTAGCTTTGATCTCAGAATTCTTGTTCTTATGTGTAATACTGTAAATCATCTTATCCCCTACCTCTACTACATCGACGACCCCACAAAACCATACTGCCTTGTTCATTTCCTTTTGCACCTCAAAAAACATTGTTTTTGTGTACACGTTCGCTACTTGCACTTCAATTTTGGACGGTGACAACAATTTAGGTATTGTAGTTCTAGTCACAACCTCAAGTGAACAATGTTCTTTCCTTTGACYTTCGATTGCATCGTCGAAAGTGTTAAGAAAGTAAACAAGATCATTYCAATACTTCGTATAAACATTAAAGAATGAATTAATACTCTCAGACCTGGAAGTGGTTTTCATAAGACCAGACATTGGATAGTCCTTGAAGTAGGCTGGAATCAAGATTCTCTTATTGCATACATTTCTTCGAACCACGAGTGACCCCGCAGTCCAAACTCATCCATCAATGCATTCCATTTCTCCTCAAAATATTCGGGACTTAGGTGTACATTCCATACGAGTTTGTTGAACTTGCTTTTAAATGGGGTCCCATGGGCTAAATGATCACGAATCTTCACAATGAAACAAGCACACAATCAAGCAATTGTGAAACCATTTTTTTTCATATTGTCCATTGTGAAGATTTTTTTGTTACGAAACGCTTACTAATCAAACTTATGTATGCATATATTAGAATTGTACCCAATGGATGAAATTAGACATACCTTTTCCTTMACTTTTTTKGTTATGTGCCACATACACAATCGATGAGTAGATTCCGAAAAAACTATTGGTATCGCTTGTTTCATTGCTGCACATTGATCGGTTATTACAAACTGTGGCTGAGTACCGTGCGCTTTCATAAACACATTCAATACCCATGTGAAATTAATGACAGATTCATTTCTAATCAATGATGCACCGACGACAACAGACTTCTTGTGATTGTCAATTGCAACAAATGGAACAAAAATCATTGCATGTCTATTACGATTGAAAAGCATGATATTAATGCATGATTTGAGATAAAAACAAATTGATAACAAATAATTAAAATAGCTTACTTGTTTGTCCGAAATGTAGCGTCGAATGATATGGTGTCTCCAAAATGTTTGTAATTCATTCTCGCTGTTTTATCTGCCCAAAATATTGCAATCAACTCCTTCTCATCACACTTATATTCAAAAAAATATTCAGAGCAATGTTCCCGYCGTTTGCTCATCTTGTTTATTAACATTTGTGCATCTTTGTTACCAACGAAGAGCATAATGTCTCTTCTAAAGTTCATATGATCCCTAGCTGTCCCACCAGATGCTACTAAACCACCGTTCATTGCCAATTGCATTCTGCGCGACTGAGTGATACCAACTTTAGAACTGGATGCGTGATAAACATTCCTTCGATCCTTGTAATCAAGTTGTCGTCTTGAATGGGTGAACATCTTCTCTTCCGAACGACAAAGCATATGATTATGCCCCTCTATGAAATGATAGACCTCGTACTGGCCACTCGCTTTCACATAGTGTACTTTAAGGCAAGCTTTACAACCGGTACGTTTGAAATTTGTATTACGCCTTTTCCTCTCTCCCGATGAAACTTCTAACGAATCAAATTCCTTTTTCGGTGGATTACCCTCCTTGCTACAAACGAAATAACGGGTTTGCACTCCACCCAACGAGTTCAATTTTTTGCTGCCCAACCGGATATCAAACCCAGCAACATCACCGTATTTCCTATACATATTTTCTACGGACTCAACCAATGAAAAGAAGTCACCAACCTTTGGACATATATTGCTATCAACGTTAGGGACCCATATCTTCGTGCCCCTTGGTGATTCCCCCATTTCTTGTGATTTTTGCATCTAACAAGTGCAAAAAGATAATACAAGATAGTTACAATTATGAATCTTAACATGATTAATATGTTTCATTACCTCCTATTAGTTATCCGCAACATGCTCAAGTTTCTGAACTTCGTTTATGAAACTATTCATTACAATATTCTCATTAGGAAATAGAGATATTATATTATGTATACTTTTCAACTTTTTTTTTAAATTACATGATGAACCTGTTATATAAATATTTCATTTGCTTATTTATGTTTTTTGCATGTTAATGAAACAGTTTCACTATCAAAAAGTTCAATTATACATTTCTTCGTTTGCTTATTCCAAGATTTTTTGTAGATTGTAATGCATTTTTTTCATGCCAAAATATGCATACTACATGTTATACGTATTTTGCATCTTCACATCATTGTTTCAAACTGAAAATGTTTCATTATAAAACACATGTAACATTGCTCCTTACTTAGTTCCATAGTTTTACTCAACAATATAAAATAACCTCGCAAATTAGTCTCATTTGAACGAAATCATTAACAAACGGTGTCCATTACTTTGCTAAAAACCATAACCATATTCTCAAATCCTACTAACTGATTTATAAAAATACTCCAACTACGAAACGCATTCAAGGCAACAAAGACGGACGAACATTATACAAAAATTCATACTATGGAAGGTACATCGACTTAAAAATTATATTACTTTAATTTGTAAAGTAATATACTTTTAATGTTAACATATTTTAAAATAACATCCATCAATAGGGTAGGGTTCACGTGAGACCAATGGTTTTTCGTGAGACCGGTAAGACCAATTTATGTTCATTGATCAACTTGATAAGCTAATAATCTAATGGTCTAAAATTCACGGTGGCAATTTTGTAATTATTGAGAAGTCTCGTAACATTTATGAATGTTCAAATCTAACGATTGTAGATCTAATCCAAGGGTTGAGAATTGGTCTTACGGGTCTCACGAAAAACCATTGGTCTCACATGATCCCAAGTCTCCATCAATAAGTTATATCAAAATCATACATAAAACACAACATATTCAATAATGTTTAATGAATCATTTCAATAAAAAGTAAAATAAAAGAATGACATTATATGAAATAAATGGTTTCAAAATTTAATTGACAATCAAACGAATTTTTTACCGATCATATTTCTTATTTTTTAATTTACTTGTACACAGATTCGTTACATTTAGATAATGTACTATTTTCATTGTATACTGAGCTTATTAAATTTTTTGATTACACAATAACTAGTTTGATTGTCCTCATTTGACAACGAACTATATTCATTTTTCGATAATTCATCATGAAATTATTTTACAATGAGTCCCATTTCATATGAAAAGCTTTCACTTTTATGAATTTGCTTCATTAACCTTACACGTGTAATTTCACTTATGAATCGATTCATTCGTTCACCTAATCCTAACAACCTTTAAGATTCATGGGCAGATTACAATCTTCTCACAATCTTTTACATAATCATAATGAATCCGTCTCATCTACTTTTAACTTCATAGATAACAAAATACATTATGCAATTTTTCACATTGAATATGAAAATGTTTCACCAATATGTACTTGTTGATTAACTATTTCATAATGAAACCTTTTCACATTGAAACACTTACATGAACATTAATTTCATATACAATAAAATGAAAATGTCTCACCATGAAACTAGTTCTTCAATCACGAATCAATTAGAAAATGAAAATGTTTCACCAGCATGAACCTATTTAAATAACTATTTTATAATGAAACCTTTTCACATGRAAACATTTACATTCACATTAATTTCATGTACAATAAAATATACTATGCACCTTTTTCATGATACGTATATATCATAAAGAACAAAATCCATTATGCACCCATTTTATTTCATTCTACCAACTAAACGGATCAACTTTAATTACAATGCAACGTTGCTCCCCATGAAACTAGTTCATCAATCACGAATCAATTACAAAATGAAAATGTTTCACCAACATCAACCTATTTGATTAACTATTTCATAATGAAACCTTTTCACAATGAAACATTTACATTAACATTAATTTCATATACAATAAAATGAAAATGTTTCACCATGAAACTAGTTCTTCAATCTCGAATCAATTATAAAATGAAAATGTTTCACCAGCATGCATCTATTTAAATAACTATTTTATAATGAAACCTTTTCACATGGAAACATTTACATTCACATTAACTTCATGTACAATAAAATATACTATGCACCTGTTTCATGATACGTAAATTTCATAAAAGAACAAAATCCATTATGCACCCGTTTCATTTCATTCTACCAACTAAACGGATCAACTTCAATTACAATGCAACATTGCTCATGATGAAACTAGTTCATCAATCACGAATCAATTACAAAATGAAAATGTTTCATCATCATGAACCCATTTCATTCTACCAGTTAAACGGATCAAATTCAATCACAAAGCAATACGAAACACCATGAAAATATTTCACGAATCATGCATCAATTAAAACATAAAATTTTTCACCATCATGACACTATTTCATTGATGTATACCATATGCTTTGAAGAAGCAAATAAGTCATTTTACAATGAAACCTTTTCATGTTTATACAGTTTCATGAACATTTGTTTTTTTTTTCTAAGCAACATCAACCCACGATTTCATTCCCATAGTTGCTGTAATCTTCATAAAATGTTTCATGATTCATTGAATACCAAATCATTAAAATCAAGATTTTAATAATGTAATATATTTAAATTTTGAAACGTTACCTTTTTCATTATTTCTTTTATTAAATTTCCTTAAATAATATGTATTAATAACTTCCTTAATTATCAAAAAAATGTGGAAAATGACAGAAATACCCTTACTCATTAAATTTAATTGAAAAAAATAGAATTTTCTTATTGGTCGAAATTAGTCTGCACGGTTTTTTAGAATTGGATGGTTTTCATTTGAACCTGCCCCTATATATATATATATATATATATATATATGGAAAGGATACTAACTAGAGAGAATTATGGCATTGTAACTACAAGAAGAAAATAAACTGATGGATGTAAAATATGTTGGGTCCAGAGATGGTATTTATATACCAACGAATAGTAGGAACCAAGTCTTGGCAAAGTACGGAGCAAGCTATGTAGAGTAGTGCCCAAGTATCAGAGAAGAGTGGTGCTTGATTGGTTTGAGTTTGGCTCCAAAGGTCAAAAATACCAGGAGGTCCCAGATTAAAATCCAAGGAGAAATAAAAATCCCCTTGTGGCCACAAAGGTTCAAATGCGATGACTCCGGGCTATCTGCAAAGCAGGTGGTTGCTCTGGGATTAGTTGGCTCGCATAGCGGGTTGGATATCCAGGTTAATAAAAAAAAGTATCAGAGAAGAGCAACGAGTAAGCTTCGTAGCTTAGTGACCAAGTTTCAATCTTTTACTGATTTGGTCATCGAGTGTAGCATGAATACAACTAATATATTTATATTACAACACTCCACCATGATGCACGAGATTCTCAATATATTTATATTACAACACTCCACCATGATGCACGAGATTCTCAAAAGCGAAACGAATCCCAATCCAACAAATACGAGTTATTCCATAGTTTATTATAAAAAGTAGATAACAAGTAAATTGGCATGAGGTAACAAATTGCATTTCAACCGTGATGAGCTTCGGCATAACCATAACCCGTCAAAGTTACAAGCAAACAAATAACCTCAAATGCACAATCTACTTAAACGAGGTAGAGCAAAGCAAAGCTCTAAAACACTTAACAAAGTAATTCCTTCAAAGATGTCGTTTTGTCACCTGTGGTAATATCTCCTCTCTCTGCCAAAGTGCCCAACGACACTAACACAAACAAAGCTTGATCAAGTCTGAGCAATGCTTAAACTTAGCTGACAGTAGCGACTAAGTGAACATATCAGTGACATTGTCGTTTGTCAGGACTTTCTTTAAATAGACGACCTTCACTTCATGTAATATAACAAGATATGCATCATGCAGATTTATGTGCTTTCTCCGAGAACTGAAAACCAAATTAGTTGCCAAATGGATGGCACTCTAATTATCCTAGAAAATGTGGACGAAAGATTGCTCGAAGCATAAGACATTTATCAATTCTTTTAGATGGACAACTTCCTTTGTAGACTCAACCGTCGCAATAAGTTGGGCTTCTATGGTTGACAATGTCACAATGGACTGTAACCGTGATCTCCAATTGACAGCCGTTCCACCAAAGATAAATATATAACCGGAGGTGGATTTCCAACCTACTCGATCACCTACATAGTCAGAATCATAAAATCCGACAATTTTATAGTCATTGTGCAAACCAAATATAAGACTATGTGTCTCGGTTCCTTTCAAATATCATAACGACATTTTAATGGCTACCCAAAGTGATTGACCCATATTCGTGAGAAACTGACTCACCACTCTGACACAACGAGCGAGATCGGGATGAGTACACACCATGGCATATATGGGACTCTCGAATTCACTAGCATACAGAACCTTTGATGTTTTGGCCTTTCCCTTGTCATCCTTCAAACAATCTTCACTTGTATTCTTGATGTGCTTCTGTAGTTGAATTGTAGACGTCTTGGCACCATTAAGATTGAACCGCTTCAATATCATTTGGATATAAGCTCGTTGTGTTAACCTGAGAGTACGGGACATTTTGTCCTGAACAATTTCCATGCCTAAATTATTTTGTGTTGCGCTAAGATCCTTCATTTCAAATTTTGACTTAAGTTTATCTTTTAGACGTTCGATCTTTGATCGGTCCTTGCTGGCAATAAGCATGTCCTACACAAAGAAGAAGATAAGTGTACCACCGTTTGTCTATGATAAACACAAGTGTCCTTTTCATTTCGTTCAAATCCCAGAGTGAGCATAAACAAATCAAACTTCTTATACCACTGACGAGGCGACTGTTTAAGTCCATAAAGGGACTTCTTTACATACATAATTTGCCTTGCCTCCGGAGATGAAGCCTTCGGGTTACTTCATGTAAATAGTTTCTTCAAAATCTCCGTGTAGGAAGGCAGTCTTCACATCTAACTGTTCTAACTTCAAATCATGCATAACCACGACCGCCAAAAGAACACAAATAAATGTATGACGTACAACGGAAGCGAAAATATTTTCATACTCGATACCATTACGCTGTGCAAAGCCTTTAGCAATGAGACAAGCCTTCTTCCGATTGTCATCTTTGACTTTGAAAACCTACTTACAACTAATAGCATGGTTACCATTCGGTAATAGACATAAGTCCAAAGTGTTGTTCTTTGAGAGAGTTTCCATCTCTTCCGTCATGGCTCTAAACCATTTAGAACCATGGATTGAGTCTAACACCTCTTTTATATCAAACTAATCCTCTTGCCCTACATGCAAAGCAAATTCCAGCTGATCTGTAAAACTCATGTTAGCAAAATCCCAATCTCCATACCTGTTAGGGGGATGAATAGTTCTTTGATTATGCCTGGTAGGTGCCATAATTGGGATTGTATGGCCTTGGTCTCTACCATCATTCAGAAACTCTTCTTTAGAATCACTAGTAGAAGTCGCTGACGGAATGACTTCTTCAAAATTATCGGGTGAGCCTGGATTAATATCAAGAATAGATTAACTAGGAATATAAGGGCTGCTACTGACTCCACATCATTAGCAGTATGGGAAACAATAGTAACGACTTCTGAATCTTGAGAGGACTGAGGATCCTGTGACTTCAATAGAACCGATTCATCAATATGACATGACGAGAATGAATCACTTTACGAGTCAAAGGGTTCCAGATTCGGTAACCCTTGATACCATCTATATACCCAAACAAAGATCCTCTGGTGGCTGTTAGATCTAGCTTGTCCTGGCTTGAAACATGAATATAAACAGAATAACCAATGCATGTATGTATTCAAACAGATGTTTCTTTTACCTCTTCAAACCTTTTCGGGAATTTTTCACCCAATAGTGAACAAGGTAACCTGTTAATGTGCAATACTCTGAGAAGTGCTTCGGTCCGAAAAGATTTGGGGAATCCCGATGTCGACAACATACACCAGACTTTTTCAAGCAAAGTCCTATTCATCCACTCGATAACCCCATTAGACTGACGGTCGCTTGTGTGGTTTAGTAACGTTGAATGCCTTTACACAAACAAAAGTCTTTAAAGTAACCACTAGTAAATTCTCCACCGTTGTCAGATCTAAGCACTTTCAACTTCTTTACAGTCTTAACTTCTTCTCGTTCTAACCAAGTCTTGAACGTGTCGAAAACATCTGACTTTAATATTAACACATACATCGTAAACCTATATAAGAAATCATCAATAAACGAAACGAAATATTGATCTCCACTGGACAGAGTACTGGATGGTCCCTAGACGTCTATATGAACATAATTGAGGATTCCTTTAGTGTTGTGTTTTCCAACACCATAAGAAACATGCGTCTTTTTCATTCGACACATCCCAAACAAACATCTAGGCTAGCAGGTATGTTGACTTTGATGAGCTTTCGCTTGCTCAAAATCTCCAAATTCTTCTTGGATATGTGGCCCAGACAAAGATACCATAAACGAATAACATCAAGATTTTGTGAATTATCTTCCACACACGATTCATAAGAAATAGTCTTCTCAATCAAATGAAAAAAGTTTATTTTCTACATGTTCGCCTTTCGTTACAATAAAACTCCCTCGAGAGACGGGCAAACTTTTGTTTTCAATCCGAATCTTGCAACCCAATTTGGACAGTTTTCCAACAGAGATCAAGGAAGAAGTCCTGGATGGAATAAATATAACATTGTTCAATGCCCAAATACACCCATCGAACATCTTGATCTGCACAGTACCAGTCCTTTTAGTAACACGTGAAGTACTATTTCCCATATAAATATTGTTACCTTCAAAATATTTGAAGGTAGAGAAACAGTTGCGGATTGGTGTCATATGGCAAGATGCACCAGTTTCTAACACCATTGCCTGCCACCTTGTAGTGGTGTAACTGTGGCAGAGAAGCTATCTTGCTATTTTTCGGTTGCAACAAGTGATGATCCAGAGCTATCTTTGTCTTTGTTTTTAAGACTCTGACAATCTTTCACCCAATGATCTGGCTTGTGACAATAATTATAGTTGCCATGTATCTTTGATTTCCCTCGGGAACTAGGTCGGCAGGACTAAGAGTACCAATGATTTCTTCCTCTTGAAGATTGTTAATCATCTTGGAATCTTTCAGCATATATGCCTTGACTTTTTTTTTGTTCTCTCTTGTATTGTAACTGATTCTCAATTAATTCTTTGATTTTTAGAAATCATTCATGTTTTCACATCAAACAAAAAAACAGTTTCTCTTCCATATATAAAATTTTTAGTAAATTGTGAATATTTCTCAGGAAGTGAATACAACAGGATCATAGTAAGTGCTTCTTCATCTTTAGCAAGAAATGCATCCGTTGCCTTCAATTTCATAATAGAATCTTCGAATTCTGTCATATGAGCTTTAATTGTAGTGCCTTCCTTTATTTTGAAGAAGAGGCAGACCGTATCAATAACAATCTGTTGGTTAAAGTTTTCTTGAGACATAAATTCTCAAGCTTGCTCCAAATACATACAATTGTATTTTCAGAAACAATCTTAGATATACAATTTTCTCTCATAGTCATCTGCAAAGTAGTAAATGTCGATGATTTTATTTCCCTAGCCTTAAGGTCAAACATATTTGGGTGTAGCTCATCTTTAGCAAAATACTACTAGATGGACTCCATTCTTTCTAAGTGAAACAGTTGTTGTGAATTTCCATTTACCAAAATCATCACCCCCATTCCAAGTATGTATATGAATCCCAACCCTAGAGAAATTAAATGTAGTCGTTGGGTCTAGTTTGAGGAACCGGTACCAAATGGGTTTTCTACTTCGGCCATAGAGACAAAAAAATGCAAACTAGTTTATGTATATTTTCTACACAAACTCCAAATCTAGATCCGAAGCCCTGATACCTATTGCTAGGAAACGGTGTGTCATAATTCAAATGCTAGGAAATGATTTCTAAGGTCCCTTCAAATAGAAATCCAAGAACACAACAAATCTAACAACAAATGTAGATAACATTGATCTAGATGTTGCATAATAACTCTATAAAAAATAAACAACCCCACATATAGATAATAATTACATATATGTTCGAATCTACACATATGACGAGTTCACAAAATATCAACACAAGAATTTTACATGATTCCACTATCGGCGTCACGGTGTACGTCCACCAAAGAGAGAGATCAAGAATTTATTACAACCAAAGAAATTACAAAGTGTTTGTTCAAGGATCTTTAGATCCACGAGCAACTAGCAAGTCTTCAAAAACACCAAAAACTTCAAGAATACTTTCGTACCTTAATTTATACTATATATATATATATATATATATATATATATATCGAAAGGATACTAACTAGAGAGTATTATGGTGTTGTAACTAGAGGAAGAAAAGAAACGATGGATGTAAAATATTTTTGTTCAGAAGATGGTATTTATATAGCAAAGAAGAGTAGGGACAAAGTCTTGGCGAAGTAGGGAGCAAGCTACGTAGAGTAGTGGCCAACTATCGGGGGAAGAGTAGGGAGGAAACTTTGTGGAGTTATGAGCAAGCTTCGTAGATTAGTGACCAAGTTTCACTCTTTTATTGATTTGGTCATCGAACGTAGCACCAATCACTACAAGAAAAATGACCTTCAGAGAAGCTTTTGTTTTGTACTTAAAAGTGTTAAAAGCTTCTCTAAAGCCTTTAGATAAGCTTTTCAATTTTGTCAAAGACCTTCTCTGTGTGACGGTAGGTGAAGGTTTTAGAGAGGGTTTTCGGAGGGTGTGTTTTTGTTAGCCTTAGAGATGCTTAATTGAGGCTTTAGATACACTTTTAAAACTTCTCTAAAGGTTAGTCAACTTTTTATTCAAAGCTTCTCTAAAAGTATATATATTAGTGACACTTTTCAAGTATTTGTGACGGTTTGTAAGAGTTACTAAAAGATAATTTTAGAGAAGATAATAGAAAAGCTTCTCTAAAATCATATATATTAGTGACACTTTTCAAGTATTTGTGACGGTTTGTAAGAGTTACTAAAAAATACTTTTAAAGAAGATAATGGAAAAGCTTCTCTAAAGATATTGGCTTTAGTGACCCTTTTAAAAAACCTTCTCTAAAAGTTCTAATCTATATATATATAAAGGAGAATCATCAAAAAATGATGTGGAATCTTGAGAGAGCTAGAACCAATTTTTGAATTATTTTAAATAAACATATCATGAAATGAATAAACCTTTCATTTACTTTATATATAAGTTACATACAATGATCTAATAAACCTTTAAACCTTTATATCTATAAATATATAATCTATATATCTATAATCTATAAGTAAGAGCCAAARCATATGATATGACATAATGTGGATTGAGGATTCAAAAATATTGAATTATAGTAGTACAAGTAATATATTTATATTACAACAGAGGAAACACCACATTTTTTCTTGAATAAAATTTCGTGTTATGAGCGTTTTTTGGGCCATCTTGAAAATAAAAGGGGAACCCAATAAAACTCCCTCTTTCTCCGACTATCAAAAGCAATTTTCCATCCGAGAGACCAATTTAAAAACTTCAAGCTTTTCTAACGGTGATGCCTTAATCATCATATATCATAACCATTATCATCCGTGTGAATTTTCTCAAATTCAAGTAAGTTGTTGGAACTATCTTTTACCCAATAATACCTCATGTCAATATGTTCTCACTTCACATTACTTATTGCATTTTTATGAAATGGATAGTACTTTGATCATCATAAAACAATTTATCACTTCATCTCTTATCCAATTATATATACCTCATTTCAATAAGTGAAAGCATACGTGTTTATGTTAAACATATAGGATGTTGAACACTTACCCCTCTTGTATGCTGGTGATGTGTTGATTGCCTCCAATCATACTAAGAAATGGATTAGTTTGTCGCATACCGGAATGTGAATATTTAAATACGACCTACGTAAAACTAATAATTAAGCTACGATGAGCTTGCTAATGTTCATGCAAGTGCCTCGGGATACATGACACAGGTTAATTTACAAAGTTAATTGAGTTCATTAAATAACTGAACATGATACAATAATCTTTATAATTGAATAAAGAATATATAATGCTAATCACATATAATAACTAATTGTAAGGTAATATTACTGTACAACCTATTGCAATCGCACCAATGTACCTGAAGAGTATCACCTGAAAACCCTATACTCTTCTATCTCCCCTTGGGAAAATGAGTCATAAAGCTCAACTGGATTGCCGAAAGATTGAGCTATGATTTGGCCATATGTACTTGCTCCAAATTGAGCATTAATATACACGATGCATTATTTAGGTTCTAAGTTCTCCAAATCACTACTATATTTGTTATCGGCCTCTGCATAATATCTACGCACATGCGAATTCAACACTTGAATCACATGAATAAAGGTTGACCACAGGGTCTATGCGACCTTGGACACTGCTGGACCTCTACCTAGTCCTAGATGGTGAGCATCTAGATATTTAGTTTCCTACAATAAAATTGGCTTTATAAAAGATCTAGAATGTCTAAGTGTCCTAATAACTTTTTTTATATAACTTATGTTTATAAGACCAAATTATAAAACATTCTATCTAAAAACGTTAGAATAAGTTTATAGGATCATTTTCGTCGTTCTAATAAGTTTTTGAGACACTTTTAAAATAAAGTATCATGTTATAAATTAAATTTTACAGGACACTTTTCAAACGTATCTCACTACTAGAAAACAAGGTATCAACGACGAAAATCAGCGAGAGTAAAAGTCCCTCACAGATCAATGAGAGATCTGGCCAAAAAGATATCCCTCGCATATCAGCGAGGGAATGAGTTTTTGACCAATCTCTCGCTGATCTAGAGGGATCAGCAAGAGAATCTGTTTTTGGCTAGATCACTTGCTGATCCCTCGCTGATTTTTTTATTTAATAACTATAAATTTAATTAATTATTAATTTTTAATTATTGATTATTAAATTTTCAATTATTTATTATTTATTAAAATATTACAAAAATTAATTAATAAAACCGAATAAAGCTTATTAGACCCAATAAAACCGAATAAAGCCCATTAAGGCCCATTAAACAGAATAAAGTCCAATAAAACTAAATAATGTTCATTAAGGCCCGATAAACTCAATAGAGCCCGATAAATGGATTAAGGCCCAATAAAACCGAATAAAGCCCCATATAACACACACACATACTATCTATACATTCACATATACACATATGTTTAAACATATATATATATATATATATATATATATAATCCGATATATGCATCTTAAACAATATATACATCGATCCAATCGTGGTTAGCAACCAGCACACATCGTGGATATATATGTATATAACACGGACCAACGGGTATGTATATATAACACATACATCATCGTGTAAAAATATGTATATAACACGGGCCAACAAGTATATATACTTATAACACATGCACATGTATACATACGACACCTACACATAAAAATGTGTACATATAACACATAAAAAACAAGAAAATAAGAAAAATAGAACAATTCCTCGCTGATCAGGAATCTGCGAGGGAATTTGTTTTTGGCCAATTCCCTCGCTGATCCATCGCAGATCAGCGAGAGATTGACACTTTTCTCGCTGATCAGCGAGGGATTTTCCTATTTTTCTCATTTTTTGTGTTATATGTACACATTTTTATGTGTAGGTGTCATATGTATACATGTGCATGCGTTATTTGTGCGTGTGTGTGTATATATATATATGTTTTGGTTGTTAACCGCGATGTGTATTATATGTACACATGTGCATGTGTTATAAGTATGTATATATATATACCCATCGGTCCGTGTTATAAACATATGTTTACACGATGTTGTATGTGTTATATGTAT